ACGTTCCACAATGCCGGCAATGCTTTTGGGTAACGTTCTCAGACCGCCTTCCCCTAATCCCACTCCAAGCGCGCACATTGCTCCTAACTCTAGTTACTACCCTCGTTCTTGTTCTCTCAACTCGTTCTTGTCCCCACTATGATCCACGCTTACCACACTTACCGCTTCGCGCCCCCCCCACGTCAACGATCTACACTTAACGTGCTGCAGCTCGTCGGGCGGCGGTGGCCAAACCGTTGGCAATGTGAGCGGCAGTGGAGCCGTTACCATCTATACCACCACCACCAATGAGGGTGTGACTGGAGGCGGCAGCGGCGGTGGCGGTGGCGGCGGCGGCGGCGGCAACATTACGGGCGGCCCCTTGCAGGAGATCATTGTGAATCCCACGTCGATGGTGGGCTGGCGTCTCAGTGCCAATGGGTCTCTGATACCGCCGCATGATCTGCTCACCGGCAGCCTGCCGAATGCGGCCACACAGAAACGCGGCTCGGAGCGTTTATTTCAATACCTCGAAGCCGAGGGCAGCGATCCGGAGGACTATGCGCGGTATTTGCCAGCACAGTTGTCACCAATTGTTGTCAATATTAACTTGTCGTTTGCTTTTGTTAACTTTTTCATTTGTATTGTCCTGTGCATTGTTGCCAGTTTTCACATTTTCGTTAAATCTTCTTTGTTGCATTTGCTGTTATTTTTACAATTACATTGTTGCCAAAATTCATTGTTTTTTCGATAAATTGTTTCAAATCTCCTTAATTCCTGTTCCACTAAAAATTTTTGAAAGAGTGAATTTTATTTTCCCTTGCGCTGTTGTCAAATTTCATTATTTTTATGATTTATATTTAACAATTTCATAAAATTAAATTATAATTGCAAACTTGATGTTTGCTCTTCCTCTTTATGCGTTGTTGCCAAACTTCATCATTTATTCCGATGCTTCTGTCGTTATATATTTAAACATATCATTTAATTTAGCATTTTGTTTTTTAGTGTAAAACAAAAGGTTGGATTTATTTTTAAATTATATTAAGCTTTATCATGCGCTGTTGCCAAAATTCATAATTGTTTTCGTTTTATTTTGTTGTGTTCAAATTTGATGGCCACCAGTGTAAAACTTTGTGTTTATTATGATTCGCATTTTTACTCATTATCTTTTGCTTAACCATTCTCTTATAATACGAACCAATCTGATCACATGTGTGTATTGTTTTTTTGTCATCCCTGCAGTCTGCTAAAAATGGACGCCATTAGTCGCAACACAGCTTCGGTCGCTCAGGATTTTCATAAAGCGGGAGGCGTGCACGAGTTGAAAATACCAGCTAATCATCAACTCCTGTTCAATAATAAACTGCCTTCGCAATGGACGACACGAGAGGCTGCTGCGCTACTGCACAGCCTGAGCAGCATGGGCGGCCATCACAGCGGCAATACCAACAGCAGCAGCAACATCAACAGCAGCAGCAGCGGCGCCGGCAGCGGCGGCAACATTGCACAGCGTCAAAAGTTTGGCGTGATGCGTGCCAGGCAGCACTCGACGGGAGAGGATGATGAGAATACGCCCTCGTCGGCATCGTCATCCTCGTACTCGGGCGATGAGTACAACATGTCGGGCGCAACCTCGCCAATGAAATTGTCGCGTCATGCCAATAGCAACGGTAAAAGCCTGCGAGCTTCTGATGAGAGCGAGCACAAAGAGCAGAACAACAAGGCGTTGATGGCAACGGCATTTCTGGAGGCAGCAGCCTACGAGCAAACGGCCATCGAGCTGCTCGCGAGCAAGCGAAAGCTCAAAATTGAGTATGACGAAGATCAAGAGAATCAACAGCAACAGCAACAACAACAACAACAGCAGCAGCAGCAGCAGCAGCGAGTGCAGCTTATTAAATCGTCTCCCGCGTATAAACTAAACAACAACAACCATAACAACAATAATAATAATAATAATAACAACAACAACAACAGCTATTTCAAAGAGAAATCTCACAGAAATGCCGTGCTTCATCGTCAAGATGATAAAGAGAACAACACCAGCAGCACTGAGGTAACAGCAGCGGCGGCCGCAGCAGCGACGGCGGCAGCAACTGCTGCTGCTGCTGCGGCAGTGGCTGCAGTAACAGTAACACCAAACTGCAGCAGCAACAACAACAACAACAACAATAATAATAATAACAACACACCCTTTCTCACACAAATGGAATATCAGAATCTCAATCGCATTGGAACACAATTTCAGAATTATGTTAAGGATATTATTAACAAATACTATGCAGCTGAGACGCCCCTAATGCTGGCTGCTGCCGCAGCAGCGCTGCCTACAGCGACAACAACAGGTCAGCAGCGGGAGCGAGAGCGTGAACGTGAGCAAACGTTGTCGCCCAGCAAGCGGCGACGCCTGCTGAGCGAGACCGAGGAGTACATAGAGTATCTGCGCAACAAGGAGGATATCACGCTTACCATAACGCCCAAGGTGCCTAACAGCAGCAGCAGCAATAACAGTGCGCCGTTAAAGTCAACTGCAGCGCCGGCTTTACAGCCGCAGTCGCTGCTCAAACGTCAGCTGGATCTGGCAGCACCACGAAAAAGTCCCAAGAAAGTACCAGTAGTAAATCAAAATGCCCTCAACAACAGTAGCATTACCAACAACATCAATGGCAACAGCAACGCCAGCAGCAGCGCTGCTAATGCCTCGCGCAAGTCTTTGAATCAGCTGGCAACGCTGCTGCCACTGCTGGCCGATGCAGCTAGCAAGCAAGAATATTTAACGGCACCGCTGGACTTTAGCAAAAAGTCAGAGGCAGAGACGGCGCGCAGCTCACGTAAACAGTCGCAGCCAAAGAAAATACGTCTCGCTCCCGAGGTGGTCGTAGCCATGCTGCGGGACAAGCATCTCAATAAGCTGGTGCATCAGAGATTGGGCTGCGCCAGCTGCACGGCCAGCCGTCGGCGCAATGGCGGCGGCATTAGCTTCAACTATCATACGCTTGGCTCTCTGGCGCTGCATCGGTTTTGGAAGCATCGAGCTTTGAAGGTCGCGTCGCGCGATTGTAGGCAGTGCAGCGCACGGTTTGAGCGGCGCTACAGTTTACAGTTGCATCGCCGTCTAAGGCATGCCAAACTGTAAAGCGTACACACTCTCTCACTCTCACTCTCTCTCTCTCTCGTTGAGAGAAAACACTCTCTCATTTATCTTAGCAAATGTTTTGCTTGCCATATACAGTTATTATGCATTAGGCGTTAACATTGAAAATTCATTAAAAATTTGCATTTATTTGTTAAATTTTAAGTTGTGATGTACCTGAAATATGATTTCTCTTTACAAAAAAAAAAAAAAACAAAAAAAAAAAAACATGAAAAGAAAACAAAAAAGAAAAAATAAGAAAACACAAAGATACATAACGAAAATCATTATTAAATAATAATGTAGAAAGCAACGCCCTCATTTCGATAAATTTCCCATTATATTAATTGTATAATTGAGGTTATGTAAACGACACACACACACATATGCACAGGCACACTCACGTTGCAGTGTTAAAAAACGACAAAAAATAAAACACTTACACTTAAATATTTATAAAGAACACACTTAATAGAATCTAGGAAGAGATATTCGTTGAGTTGCAAAAACATTTGTGAAGCAAAATAGCTTTAATTTGCCATTAAAAAAAAAACATCAGCATTTAGTTACTTAATACGAGTATAATTTTTGCCATTAAGTTGTATTCTCTACACACACACACATACATATATACATATATATTTAATTTATACAACATGAATGCAAACCTCAAATACCCTTTTGCCTTATTTTATTTAAATTAAGCTTTAAACAACATGATTATTGCATATTGTGTACATTTATTTAGTTCTAGTTTTAGTTTTGAGCAACAGCCACGCCCACAATGCCCACTCACAAGCGTTCTGCATATGGCAAATAGTTTATAAAAATAATGCAACTGATAAAAAACAAAAACAAAAAAAAACAACCATATTAACGTACGTGTAGTTGTATTTATGATTTTATCAATGAAAACAAACAAAAACAAAAAAACACAAGAACAATACAAAATACTCAAAGAAAATACGATATATATAAATAAATATATATATATATATATACGGAATATGTATTAACTTTTTACCACACACTGAACAAGAAAATATTTGACTGAAAAGTGTCGGGGAAATATTAAGAAAAGATACAAATGAATAAAACAAATAAATGCTATAAACAATTTCTAGTGTAAAATGTGTGTTTTTGCTAAATGTGGTAAACTTAAACGTAAATTAATTACACCAAACGATAAACTAAAAACAAAAACAAAAACAACAACAAAAACAAAATAAATACAAATATAGAAACCAACAAGAATTCTTAAGTAAAGTAAATTTTTGGATGACAAAAGCCATTTAGACAAAATTTTTGAGACGAAAAAAGACATTTATGAGTAAAAACAAAAAACAAAAAAAAAAACAAAACTAAAGAACAAATTACTTTACATTTTATTTAAGCACCAGTTGCAAAAAAAAAAAAATAATTAAAAAAGTAATAAAAAAAATTAAAAAACAAATATAAGTGTTTTTAGTTTAAAAATTATATTTCCAAAAAACATTCAAATAAAAGTAAATTAGTTTAAAAAATAGAAATCATATTGTTTTATTTTTCGAATTAGTAAGTCTCGCTTCTATATAAATATATATTATATATTCTTGATAGATATAGTCCAGATTCTATGCAAATACAAATTTGCAAAATTTCAAAACCTTATCTCAAAGTTTGGACCCAATCATTGGACTTATTCGCATAAGGATCCAGTTCCAATATAAAATTTGTAATATTACAGGAATAATTTTTCAATTAAATATTTTTAAGATTTAAAAAATTAGAGTTTGAACCAAAGCCTTGGAAGGAAGTTGAATACCAACTTTACGAACCGAAGCCTCAGGCAGCAAGTCGATTTCAACTGTGAATCGAACAAAAGACATTTTAAACACTGGGCTCATCATATATAAATTTCGAAAGAAGTATAATCCAGATATCGAGTAAGATATACGGCGACAATTAACTTAAACTAAAAGTAGTAAATTAATGTACGACCCGTGATATTTGGGGCCTTATCAAATGACTTCGATCAAAATCTGAAACTATGGGAAAAGTTTTAAGATTTCCTGATAGACTCTGAAGTTTCTCATAGCTTACAATCATATTTCGATCTTAGTTTATATCAAATCGAATTGTCCAATTTTCTCTAGTCTCTTAGATTTATTAAAATATATTCTTCAATTACAAGCTAAACTCGGGAAATAGTTCTTAATCCTTGCTAATCCTTGTGTTCCAGAAAACTTTAACGTGCATCAAAAACGACAACTGCAAGAAACAGAAATCGAAATGTTAATACAGTTTGAAAGGCACTGGCATCCCAGAGATTCGGTACTTACGGCGCTTGGTGCGCTTCTTGTACATGATACGGTAGCCACACTCGCGACAGCGTATGGGATCACGTGGACGCATCTCGTTCTCGTGATGGCATTCTATTAAAGTAGAGTATTGCGAATTCTGCATTAATAAACGTAAATGTTTGTTATAAAGGCGCAACCATGTGCGCGTCGGTGCGGCAGCATGTGGTTGCCTCTTTTAGCTGAGCTTGGGCTCGTTTGTTTACTTACCGCCACAAATGTATGTCATTGCTGTCTTGACGTTTTCCTTGGAGCTGGTCTCCGACATATTTACTCAATTAAATTAACAAAAACTTGCAAACGACTGCGGCTTGTGAAATATTGTTATTGCAATTCGATAACTTTTCTATAACAGACCGCTGTTAATTAACAGCGATACCATCAACAGTGTGCCCAACTACGATACTTTTTGGTTAGTATTTTTGGTGGTGTTCGCTCGCCGGCTAAGAAACGGTCACACTAATTGTATTAAAGTCAATTCAAACGTTTTATTGTGCGTTTTCTTGTTTTGTTAAATAAAATGGTGAAGCATAGCAATAAAAAGTCTGCTATGCATCCGCGCAATGTGCTGCGCACTGCGCCGGACTACACAAAATTGGCCATCAAGCACAGGGACTTTCGGCAAGTGTGTGAATTGGTGAGTTGTGAACTTCACAATTGTTGCTACGATTATATTCTGTTATCCTTTGCAGGAGCTCAATGGCAGGGTATCGCTTAACTTTCGTAATGAACGAACACTGCGTGAATTAACCAAAATGCTGCTGCTTGAATATTTTGGACTGCACGTGGAGTTCGCGCCGGGCAGCCTGGTGCCCACTTTGGCGCTGCGCCTGAACTACATTTTATGGCTAGAGGATTTGCTGGCGCCTCTCAAATTGGACGCAGTGCATGGCATCGATATTGGCAGGTTGCTGTTCTACATTCAAGAGACTTCTTACTAAACTCTATTCATTGCAGGCTGCGGCTCCTCGTGCATTTACTCGCTGCTGGCAGCCAAAAAGAATCAATGGCACATGCTGGCGCTGGAGTCGAAGCAAACTAACATTGAGTATGCCCGCGAGAATGTGAAGCGCAATAATCTGGAGCACCTTGTGGAGGTTTATGCCCAGCCGGACAAGAATAACATTTTCAAGAGCTATTTCGAGACCGCCAGCAGGTTGCCCAAGGAGGGCTTTCACTTCTGCCTCTGCAATCCGCCCTTCTTCGACTCGAATGCAGAGAATCCGTTTGGCGGCAACACGCGCAATCCCCAGCGTCGTCCGGCGCCCAACAATGTGCGCACCGGCAGTGCCGAAGAGCTGACCTGTGCAGGTGGCGAGGTGCAATTCGTGCAGCGCATTGTCGAGGAGAGCGAGCTGCACCAGGAGCGCGTGCTGTAAGTGCCACTGCACCCTATGAAAACATTTATAATACGCTTTGCCTTTTTCAGCATTTTTACGAGCATGCTGGGCGTTAAGGCAAACGTGCCAAAGATATTGGACTATTTACAGAAACGCCAAATAAGCAATGTGTCCACCACGGAGTTTCATCAGGGACACACCACACGTTGGGCAGTTGCCTGGAGCTTTCAACAGCTAAGCTTAAAAGTAGATGCAGCACTGTCTAGTCCAGATCTATATCGTACATAAGTAAACATAGCTTGTATATAGCATAAGTAGAACTTTAAGCTAATGTAGTAAAAAATGGAATACGTTGTTAAGGCTGCTGCTGGTCAATTAACTGTTGTGGCACGTTTTGGAAAACTAACACAAATGTGAGGGTATCTTTTTACCCATCTGCAGCAGCACTTTCAACTGTTGCCCGCCCATATCATATTCGCGGCGCATTTCGTGCGACCAAAAAGCTTTTCCACTAAATGGAAATTTGCATGTCAGTGGGCACTTTGCTGCCGCAGCCAAACGAAAGCGAGGAAAGCGGCACCAAAACGAACGGAAATTATCGTTTCGTTTATATCATTGACCAGCGCACAGTTGCCCATCCAATGCGCCACAAATAGCAAAAGCATGCCAATTTCTAGCCTTAACTGCTTAGTAGCTCCCCACAAGCCGCACACCTGAGCAAATGCGTCACCAGTTTCGATGTTAGGAAAACTTTTGATTATTGTCGGTTGAAATTTATGTAATTTATACAAATTTTACAATAAGCAAAAAACCTTTACAAATTACATTTTCTCTCTTAAGAGCGACAAAGTAAATGTTGAGAAAAGTCTCCAGCTGAGATTAATTTCAGCTGGACTTTGTTATGTTGGAAATTTAAATAAAAAAATATTCCATCAACAAAGCTTGCATTTGCTTTGTTCTATGCTCAATCTTTTGGCTTCTAATGGAATATTAATTTTCTCAATGTTTTGAAAGACGTGTGCAGCTAAACTAAACTAAAAGCACTTCAACTTGGAGTTCGTGCCCTTTTAGAATGACTCTCATTGCCTGCAGTCATATCCAATGCTAATACTCAACCCCGTCCACAGCCTGGGCTGCCAATGGCTGGCGCCTGGCTCTGGCTGCATGCCAAGCCAACAATATTAACCAGCAATGTGAGCAGATCATAACAGTAGTTGGTTAAGGAGTTGACGGCAAATGGGTGGCATCATATCATATTGTACACACATGGCCATTATCACAGCCGGATACGGACATGGACACGGACACGGACATGGACATGGACACGGAGCTAACCCGAGACAAGCGGCAAACCAAAACTGGCAGTTCGTATGTCAAAAGGGCTCAATGTTGACTTTAAAATCACATTTAAGAGTCGCACACACACACACACACACACGCCCGTTCAATTACTCGACTGCAACCAGGCTCACCTCACACATGGCTATTGAAAGGGGTTACCTGAGCGAGACACACGCCACAGCCGGCAGCACGGACTATTTGCATTACGTGCCTGTGTATGCAAGTATCCATGTGTATCCGTGAGTATCCGTGTGTGTGTGTGCTTGTGTCATTTGCCTGTCATATGCCTGGTTTTTTGGTTGGTTTTGCTTATTGCACTAAGTGAATGTACTTGTATTGCCATGTGCCCTGACAATAGCATACATTTAGGCGCACGAACTGCCAGCCAGCCAGACAATTGCAACTCTAACAGTTGCCGCCAGCTCTCAGCTGCCAGCTCCCAGTTGCCAGCTCTTCGAGCTGCTGGTTACGTGCAGTCACGCAGGTACCCATTCCCAAGTCCAGGCTGAACTCTTTTCTATCAGTTTTGTGGAGCAACAACTTGCATTTAAATGGGATTTTTCAATTTGGTTGACATGTCTGGCATGTTGTGTGTTCAGCCCAGACGGACGCCATTCGCGAGTCTACTTTTTGGGGCCGGCCTGCTTCCTTGGCCCAAGATGCTCGCACAGCTGCCTTGATTGATGCTTGCGCCTTGTAGCCATGTGATTGATGGCCGTCGATCTCGAGCAATTGTCAAGGTTGACAGAGATTTGTGCAGACGTTTTTGCTGGTATATGAAATGTCATCTAAATTAACCCGCAAAGTTTGCCCGAATCCAAGAATAACACATTCAAGTTATGCGCCTCTGTCATATATCATTTCGTCGCCCACACATACCATATATATATATATATATATGTCCTTTTATATTCCCCTTTCGAGTCCTGATTCAACTGTGTTTATGTTGCAATCCAATCAACAACTGTTCCACATTTGGCTGGCCTTGCCACTCAATTACTTAGCTGCTCCCCCGCCCAGCGGGCATTAAAAATGTATTGGAGCAGCAAAATATTCCAGTTATATATGTCGTAAACTTATTTTCCAAACAATTTTACGATGCCAATAAAAAAGCCGAGCTCCGGACTCCATTCAACGAGACAGACTCTAAGCCCGCTCCGAGTTTGCAGCTTTATGATATTATTCAACACCTTCAACTGACCCTGGTCAGGGGCTTCATGGCCGACCCCAAGCTCCGAGAGGTCGTTGTGTAAACAAGTCGGTCCCTCAGCGCTTTTTTAATTAACAATTACGCCAACTCCAGGACACGTGCGAGTTATGGGTGTGTGCGTGTGTGAAGGTGTGTGCAGGTGTCTGCCCGCTTCCCAAAATTAAGCTAATAGCTAGAAAATTACCAAAAGCACACATGTGGGAGCGCTCATCAACGTGGCAACAACCAAATAAGCAAAACGTTGCCTACAAAAAAAGCAAGCTTACAAATTCATTCTCAAATTAGTATCAAAGAGATCAAAGATATTAAATAAGTCAATTCAAATATTTTCACATATGCAGCATATGTGTTTTATTAATAAAGTGAACAAAATGATTTGCAAATATTTGATAAATAAACTTTTCACTTTGAAAGTGATTTATGATTTTGCCATTTTGTCGATTTGGGTCAATTTTTTTAATGCTAATCGATAGAACTGATCCTTACGAGTCAAAAATGGTACGAAAATCCAAAATCGGACATTATTTGAAGGAAATATAAAAAAAAAAAAATCATCAAAAAGGTTGAATTTACGAACGAATCGGTTTTCTGTCTACATTTTTTTTAACAAATCGGTGTTTAATTTGCTTGAATGTCAATTGATGGTAGGGATCCGTACGCATTCAAAACGGTATAACATTTTAAAATCAGACATTATTTACCCGAGATATTAAAAAAAATCATCGAAAAAGTTTCGATTTTCGCACCTACCTCGTTTTTGAAGAAAATTGTGATGGTTTGGAAGGTCATATCTCCCACTGGAGTTATGTCGTTTTGGAACGTCATATCTCCGCGAAAAAGTTTCATCGAAAAAGTTTCGATTTTCGCACCCACCTCGATTTTGAAAAAAATAATGATGGTTTGGAAGGTCATATCTCCCAGGGGAGTTATGTCGTTTTGAAACGTCATATCTCCGCGCGAAAAAATATCATCGAAAAAGTTTCGATTTTCGCACCGACCCCTATTTTGAAGAAAATCGTGATGGTTTTTGAAGGTCATATCTCCCTGTGGAGTTATGTCGTTTTGGAACGTCATATCTCCGCGAAAAAGTTTCATCGAAAAAGTTTCGATTTTCGCACCGATCTCGATTTTAAAAAAAATCTTGATGGTGGATGGAAGGTCATATCTCCTAGCGGAGTTATGTCGTTTTGAAACGTCATATCTCCGCGAAAAAGTTTCATCGAAAATGTTTCGATTTTCGCACCGACCCCGATTTTGAAGAAAATCGTGATGGCTTGGAAGGTCATATCTCCCAGCGGAGTTATGTCGTTTTGAAACGTCATATCTCCGCGCGAAAAAATATCATCGAAAAAGTTTCGATTTTCGCACCGACCTCGATTTTGAATAAAATCACGATGGCTTGGAAGGTCATATCTCCCAGCGGAGTTATGTCGTTTTGGAACGTCATATCTCCGCGAAAAAGTTTCATCGAAAAAGTTTCGATTTTCGCACCCACCTCGATTTTGAAAAAAATAATGATGGTTTGGAAGGTCATATCTCCCACTGGAGTTATGTCGTTTTGGAACGTCATATCTCCACGAAAAAGTTTCATCGAAAAAGTTTCGATTTTCGCACCGTCCCCGATTTGAAGAAAATCGTGATGGTTTGGAAGGTCATATCTCCCCGCGGAGTTATGTCGTTTTGAAACGTCATATCTCCGCGCGAAAAAATATCATCGAAAAAGTTTCGATTTTCGCACCGACCCCTATTTTGAAGAAAATCGTGATGGTTTTTGAAGGTCATATCTCCCACTGGAGCTATGTCGTTTTGAAACGTCATATCTCTGCGAAAAAGTTTCATCGAAAAAGTTTCGATTTTCGCACCGACCCCGATTTTGAAGAAAATCGTGATGGCTTGGAAGGTCATATCTCCCAGCGGAGTTATGTCGTTTTGGAACGTCATATCTCCGCGAAAAAGTTTCATCGAAAAAGTTTCGATTTTCGCACCGACCCCGATTTTGAAGAAAATCGTGATGGTTTTTGAAGGTCATATCTCCCACTGGAGTTATGTCATTTTGGAACGTTATGTCTCCGCGAAAAAGTTTCATCGAAAAAGTTTCGATTTTCGCACCGACCTCGATTTTGAATAAAATCGTGATGGCTTGGAAGGTCATATCTCCTAGCGGAGTTATGTCGTTTTGAAACGTCATATCTCCGCGAAAAAGTTTCATCGAAAAAGTTTCGATTTTCGCACCGACCTCGATTTTGAAGAAAATCGTGATGGCTTGGAAGGTCATATCTCCCAGCGGAGTTATGTCGTTTTGGAACGTCATATCTCCGCGAAAAAGTTTCATCGAAAAAGTTTCGATTTTCGCACCGACCCCGATTTTGAAGAAAATCGTGATGGTGGATGGAAGGTCATATCTCCCACTGGAGTTATGTCGTTTTGGAACGTCATATCTCCGCGAAAAAGTTTCATCGAAAAAGTTTCGATTTTCGCACCGACCTCGATTTTGAAGAAAATCCGGATGTTTGGAAGGTCATATCTCCCAGCGGAGTTATGTCGTTTTGAAACGTCATATCTCCGCGAAAAAGTTTCATCGAAAAAGTTTCGATTTTCGCACCGACCCCGATTTTGAAGAAAATCGTGATGGCTTGGAAGGTGATATCTCCCAGCGGAGTTATGTCGTTTTGGAACGTTATATCTCCGCGAAAAAGTTTCAACGAAAAAGTTTCGATTTTCGCACCGACCTCGATTTTGAAGAAAGTCGGGATGGCTTGGAAGGTCATATCTCCCAGCGAGTTATGTCGTTTGGAACGTCATATCTCCGCGAAAAAGTTTCATCGAAAAAGTTTCGATTTTCGCACCTACCTCGATTTTGAAAAAAATCATGGTAGCTTGGAAGGTCATATCTCCCAGTGGAGTTATGTCGTTTTGGAACGTCATATCTCCGCGAAAAAGTTTCATCGAAAAAGTTTCGATTTTCGCACCGACCTCGATTTTGAAGAAAATCGTGATGGCTTGGAAGGTCATATCTCCCAGCGGAGTTATGTCGTTTTGGAACGTCATATCTCCGCGGAAAAGTTTCATCGAAAAAGTTTCGATTTTCGCACCGACCCCGATTTTGAAGAAAGTCGGGATGGATTGGAAGGTCATATCTCCCACTGGAGTTATGTCCCTTTGGAACGTCATATCTCCGCGAAAAAGACGGACAGACAGACAGATGGACATGGCTAGATCGACTCGGCTATTGATGCTGATCAAGAATATATACACATTATGGGGTCGGAGATG